CGCCTCCTACCACCACTCCCGAACAACGGACCAATGAGCCCCTGCCATAGACTTCCCGTAAAGCTATCCGCTCAGACATGCCAATAGTTTCAGACACCTTCCGCCACGGCTGCACATATATAAGCAAAATGTTTCGTCCGCTCCCAATTAGAAGTCTCAATTTGAAGCTTTTCCATGATTTCCAATTTTCAAATTTCAAGCAGTCTTCTCCAGCATTTTGTCAGTTGTCTCACATGTAGCTCGTATCAGCATGTGCTCAGTTTTTCCGCAGTTTCTCAGCATTTTCCGCAGCTCTTCAGGTCATACAATTCGCGCTGCCCCACTGTGACCATTCTAGCTCCACGATATCTCCCATGTCGCAGACAGACTACGGAAGCCGCAGCCATTGCCGAGAATCAGAAGAACAAGACCCTCATTCACCAACTTCTCACCACTCAACACAAGGTATTACACGACACCATTCGCAACCTGCAGCAAACTTGCATCCACGTTACAGAGCCCATCCACCTCAGCCACCGCGCGTCCTTCCACAGCACAACACCCCTCCATCACGTTCACTTTCCACTACACACCGCTCCCCAGCAGCTACCCACCTCACATCACAGCATTCCATTCGCAAAACATCCAGATCCCGTTCAGCATCAGGCGCCACCAACCGCTCCCACTCCAGCCACTACCATCGCCGCCGCCAAAGCCACTCCAAATACACCAAACATTCCACTCTCACGAGCGCAGGGATCGATCCCTCACAGAACCTTCCCCCAGCAGATCACGTTCACCACGGCGAGACCGTTCCCATTCACCCTTCAGAACACACCGCAAACCACTCCATCGAAAACACTGCTCGCTACCCTCCCAAACAACCTCCATTGCATCACCGACACAATCCCCCACACTCCGACTCCACCACCAGGAGTCTGGACCACACAATGTCCACAACATATCCCCACACCAACCAAGACTCCATACAAACACAAATGAAGTTTCGGCCAGATTGCCAGCTTTCGCAGCAACTAATTCAGACACAAGGATGACTCCAAAATGGAACATCCTATCGAGACTTGAATGTGCCTTTATGCCACCTGCCGATATCATTTATCGCCGCAACGCCCGTGTCCCAATAGAGGCTAAATATGGTATCATGCAAGAGTATCCCACCACCTACGAGCCGCCGTCTCACGGAGCTGAAATTGATGCATTACAGTCGCACCTTTTTCAGTTTTCAGATTTTCATCATCGTTGATTACCAGCTGTCGCAGCTGTGGCTTTTGCATTTGTTTCTCCAAGAGTTTTAACATTCAGTGCGTTTATCGTCTTGCAGATTATACTATTTCTCAATTTCCCTTTTTCTGCAGCCGTGATTTTCCAGACTGATCAAAACAAACATCCTGATGGCCCTCCCTACTCAAGAGATAGAGGCTGCATTCTGGAACTGGGCTCACGGCACACCGGCCGCACATACCTATGGGTAAATGACAACTCAACAGTCCCTCCGTGTCGGGCTCTACCACACCAGGGAGCATTTGCATTCTATACAAGAAACCATCTATTTCCAAGACTCCATCTACCCGCACCTTAGCCGCACCTTGCTCCACCTTTACTCAGCCGAGTCTTGCGAATCAGAACACTGGTAGAGCACGCAAGTGAAGAAGACAACACATGCCATGTCCCATCTTGAAGCCATCGGCCAGCTTTCACCAAGAACATTGAAAGGCAAAGGACCTGTCCTTCCAGATCCACTAGACGATCCCATCACCGGAGTGCCACAATCTGACCTCATCTACATTCCACCACCACCACGATCCACCAGCATTCCAGAAGCTACACCCGCCACGACTGGCAACACTCCCCCCGCTTCCCGACAACAGGCAGCATTCCCCGCAAACCACGCCAAGCACCTCGACCACCCCAGCATCAACCCAACCGCTTCCACTCCCACTACACCAATTCCCACCTTACGCTGCAGCTGCACTGCTTGTTTGCTGTCTTTGTGCTGCTTCTGTGTTGCCTCTCTGCTGCTTCTGTGCAGTTTGTCCTCTCCTGCTGCTGCTGCTGCTGCCGCTGCTAAAGCTTGTGCTGCTGCATGCTACTTGGCGGCTGCTGCTTACGTGTTGCTGCTGCTTGCACACTGCAATTGGATTGGCTTGATACAAAACTTGACTTAATCTATTTGGCACTCGGTAGAAAAACTGTAAACTGCTTGTAAACAGGAACCTGATGTGACCCTGATGTGACCCGGTCGCATCGGGCCACTACTTGCGGATTTTATACTGTAGCTGCCGCATGACTAAAGTTGGTGGTGACGATACCCTGCGTAGGCATCCCGCGTGGGCATCCAACAAAGAGAACCTTTTGCGTAGGCATTTGCTTGAGAGGGGAGCCCAGGCGTAGGCACCTGCGTAGGTACACACCCAGTGTATAAGCCCCACACCACCAAAAAAGTAACACAACTCATGTGTACACACACGTGCACCCACGGACGCAGCAACGGACTAACGACCACAATTGTGGACACATCCACACACGAAGGCCTCCTTCAAGTCTTGTAGATGTTTCAAGCACATTTTGAGATTTTTTGTTAATTAAATGCAGATTAATACAGAACACTCCAATGTTTACAACTGTTTTTGTTGTTTCAGTCAGGTACGGGTGGCACGATTGTGCCCCGATCCGCCACATCTTCCGACACGGTCACCAGAGGCATTTGCCTCTTGGTTAAGGTTTGTGAGTTTGGGGTTGGCGCCTAGTGTTGGGTTTTTGGATGTTTTAGGAGTGTTTGGCAAGTTGTACGATGAGATGAGCAGAGCGAGGGCACAGACAACGCATATCATTGTTGGGGCTGGGTAGTTCCCAGTAAGTTTTGATCGGTGCAAACTCTGCTTGGTCTAATTTAACGGTTTTTTCAAGGATGGGAGCAGCTGGAGTGCATTGAACTGGGAAGCAGAGGCGGGAGACTAGCAGCTGGCGGGATGCCGCTTGACAGAATTGAGGAGCATCAAACCGAGAAGTTTTACTTTTGGGGTGTGGGGGGGGGGGGAGTTTCCTTGTCGGGTTTGTTGCGTCCATGTGATAAAGCTGAGGCCGGCGTTGGTCTTTGGCCTGTCTACCCCCGGGCTTCAGTGTTTGTGGCACTGTTTGTGGATCAACAGAAAAGCTTCTATTCGGCCGGTGGTCCTGAAGGCCTGGCAGTTTGTAGACGGCAATATGTTTGCCTCTAAATGTATGGCGAGGGAGCTTTTCTGTTCCTGATCCTGCGGTAGATAGTCTAGACTGGATCGCCAGAGTACGCCAAATGAAAGACGAAGCTGTCGATATTGTGTAGTGGGACAGCAACGATGACAGCCCTTCAAGCTGAAGGGGCATTACCATCTTGCTCAGCATCCCCTGCACACTGCACTTGAGGGCCAGTCTTGGGCTGGCATAGCTGGTTGTTTGGCAAGTGAACTTTCTGTGGCAGCCCCAAGTCTCACCTTCAACGGCTTTCATCTATTGATTTGCTCATCATCCAAAAGTAGTTTAGGAGTAAGAAGACAGCAAAGCCACAGCCGACACTTTGGCACCAAACCCAGCTCAAAGCCCAAATTCACGATACGTGCGTGATAGGGGCTGGAAGCCATTCATGTGAATGCTGAGCGGAGCACAGAGAAAGCAGCAACCACAATGTGCTGCAGGTACACCAGGTGCTGGAAGAGCAGCTCAATGGCTTCAGCTTCCACACACGTTTGATCGTTTGCAACTTTCACCCCAGCTGCTGGATGACCACTGAAAGTAAGAGAAGCAAGTGAAGTGAAGCGCAAGTTTGCAGCTTCTACAAGGCACCCAACAGTCAGGGCCGATCCAGTGATACGCCAATGCAATGTCGGAGCTTTCTCACGCTCCTTTGGAGACTTTTTGGGAGGGACGATGGCACAAGCAGACGCAAGTATTGTAAAGCCAGAAGATCGCAGACAATGTATCCTGTGGAGTCATTCCTCGAAGTCTGGTCTAGTCACATCCACATCGATTGGTGCTGTAATTGAGTGCGGAGACTGGTCAAACACAACTTTTGGCGCAAGGCAAGTGTATACAGTTTGCATCAGTTTGCTATGTTGTTGGAATCATGGTTTTGACCTGGTGATTGGGCTCAGTTCACAGCGTAAATAGTTCCACTCAAGAGCTGTTGCACGCAGTCTTTCCCAATTGATTTTGCTGTGTTCTATGCCTTCCAAGGCCTACCGCGCATTTTATGTAAACCCTTGATTTGTTGACACAACACCACAAATCATTTGCTTGGGTCCATCACCCTGCATTGCAATAGTCAATGGTCAATGGTCTTCTGTCGGAAACACGACGGCATGAATAGTTTTTTGGGCGGCCGCAGCATCAGAACTGCTTTGGCATGTCAGGTTCTTCGCACACTAAGGTACCTTCATACAGACTAGTGTGGCAACGCTGAGGTACGACTGTGGCAATTGGGGAGTTGCAATTTGCAAAAGCTTGGTGAAATTTGTGGCATGGGTTTTATTCAATTTCCTAAGACACTGCTCAGAGCCTTGGTTTATTGTTGTCCAACCATATGTATGTTTTCAGGAGGTTGGTGACAGATTCATTTCAAGCATGGGCTTGAATCAAGAGTCGCAGTGACTGCAGTGAATGCAAAATTGTAGCTGACACGTTTTAGCAAGAAGCTACTAGTAGCAAGGGCATCGCTACTAGGAGCAAGGACGCTACTAGTCACTTTTTCTATACTTGACACAAGATGCCGTGTCATGAGCAGAATTGCATGCGCAGCAAAAGCAATGCGGGGCCAAAGCTTAGTGGCTGCGATGCCCACCTGCGAAAGCTTGACGAAAGCGCCAGCTGCAGGTAAAAACTGGCACTTGCTGATGAAGCCATAGAGCACACTAGTGCGGGGATGTCGTGTTTTCATGTGTACTGCCATTGTGCTGTAATGGAAACTGCTGCATCACCCAATGGAATCCCGACAAACTGTAGATTTTGCAATCCTATTGCATCACAAGGTATTTCTTTCACCAGCAGCTCGGCATGCAGATCAATGGGATGGGAACAATTAGAAACACCAGCGACATATTCCTGGAAGTTTGATTAGTTTGGCGGTCCCAGTCATCAATTGGCTTTGTGATTCGTGTTCTTTTTAAATACTAGCACGGCACAAACCGAGCGAGGACAGGAATTTTCCACTATATGTTCCTGGACAACCGCTTCAAGTACGAGCCTTTGGCCCTCGTGCTTTTATTGTTGCCTGGCAATGCAAGTGATTTTGTTGTGACGGAACAGCCCACCGAAGAAGGGTGTGTTACTGTCTTACCTGTCCACACACACAGACTCACACACACTTGAGATTAGTGTACGTACGAAAAGCAGTTGCCACTCGAGGAAACCTAGGTGAAAACAGGAGCCTGAGTCAAACAAGCAGCAGGGTGCAAATTTCTGGGAAGGTTGCCCGGTTGCTGAGGGAAGTTAAGCAAGCGTGTACAGCAAACCAAGGGCCCAGTGGAACTGCGTATCAACACCACAACCACATGAAAGCAGGTGCATCCGTGAAGCGTTTTTTAATTGATATCACAGGCAGGTGACAAACGTCTTTGTTACCCGGGGCTTGTCAGTGCCCCCCAAGTCCCCTGACACCTCCAAAACAGGGCAGGGTATATTAAGAATGTGTGCGCTTGCATAAGCGTGCTTTGCCTAGACCTTGAGCCAGGTCAAACAATGTAGGAATGTTTGTGCATATTAATGCACACTAGTTGTACATTACGGTTTCATAACTCAAAGCCATCACATTTGTTGACAACGCCCATGCAGCCATTGGAAAGACATTACCATCATTACCTTTAGATTGAGAACTCAACCAGCAAACGAATCAAGAAACACTAGTGACTCGTGACAAGTGCAAGCGGCTGTTTAGCCTGTTTCTACATACAAACCTCTTAGATCCTCTTAGAATATGTACGTATATACTGTGTATATAATATATAATATATATATATATAAATGTATATATATATATATTCTACTCACGGACGGCCACGGACCTTGGCTCAAATCCCTTGTGGCTGCCTATATGGGGGATGATTGGCTAGCACGGTCCTCCTTACCACAATAGCTGCCTCACAGCTGCATTGCTCAATGTATACATTCCATAGAGTCACGTTGATTTGAGGATCCTCCTGGCCGTCATATACTTTGCGGGCTCAGTAGCCCTCAACTACGCTGCCGACTCCTGGCCTGCCAGGTTTGGGGGGCTTTCAGCTGACAATTATATTATGATTCAACCCGCGGAAGCAGAAATGATAAGGTTCAGCCAAAAAATAGAATAGTAGCGATGTTCATATTTGTTTGAGGGGCAGTTGTTTGAGTCTGTAAATGCAAAGGTGTAAGATATTTGCTACTGGTTGAGATAGGCTCATTTCAGACCTGTGTCCCCCCCCCTTTCTTCTGCGTTGGTAGACTAGGAGCACATGGACATTTGTTGGCTTGTGTGTGTGTGCACCTTCCAGGCTTGCGATCGTGGTAGCTGCTCTTGGCACGTGTACATTCGGGCCAGGCAAAGTGGATCCGGAAGATGGCACCTTAACGCACCCAGCGTGAAGCACATTAGACGAGATGAGTCCACAGGACCCACATGATTTGCATGCCTTTGTTGGCCAAGGCAGCAGCGCCTCTTTGCTTGCATCTTGAGAGCCCACTGGAGCCATTGCTACAGCCAATTGCTGCAACTAGCAGGATTTGGGGAGTTGTTTTTCTTTAACCAGTCATGAACCAGCTTATTTCATACTGTATCTTTAATGAATAAAACTAAACTGCAATTGATTGGATTTACTCAAAGGGAGCGGACTTCACCTCACTGGTCCAAAGAAATATTGTGGCAATATTGCATAGACACAGCCGAGGAGACCATGGTCAAGGTGTTCCTGCTTTGCCTTTCATTGCTTGGAAATCTAGGGATTTCCAGCAAAGCCTGCCTCAGGGGTTTGAAGGAACTCCAGAGCTTTGAATGCTTCGACCCCAAAGGGGCCCCCAGTGAGAGAAGCAGAGAGACTATACTGTATCATTGCTTTAGCACACATTTCTTCACTAGCGCACTTCTTGAAGTTTGCTGTGAGTAGTCGCCTAAAGCCGCTAGAGCACCTGGACTTTGCCAAAATGCTAGGGCCGCTAGGCAAATCATTGTTCAACATGCCAGCATCACATGCTCAAACCACGCTCCTGCCAGATCATTCAGCAGGTACTTTGGGCTCAGCAGGTGCAGCGTACATGAGCGTGAACTCTGGACTGGTAACTTTGAGGCCTGGCAATCTTGGCAGATGCTTCAGCTCCCAAAGCAGACCGCGGCTGAGACGGGCCAGGAAAGAGGTGTTGATGTATGCCACTGGCAACGCATGGTTCTTCAATGTCGTGCCTTGGCATTTCTGCGCTTTACTGTACTCTGCGCAAATCTAAGCAAAATCCTGCAAAACCTTTCTGGATGATTCAGCGCCTCAACTCCAAAGCTCAGGTTCCTGTAGCTCTTTGCCAGGCCAGCGATCCCATGTACTTTTAATTTTCCAGGGATCCAACCTGCCAGGCGGCGACGCTGGCCTTAGGCAGCCTCCCTAGACGATTTGAGGTGTGCTTTTCTGGACCCTTTTCGCAGACCAAACGTCACCAATCTGATGGACGCTTGGTTGTTCTTCTACGCGTTGGCCCAGGAAACGCGGCATATCTTCATTTCGGTGTCGGAATGGTTCAAATGCTGAAAGCAGGCAATCTGAAGTTGACGTTTGGCAAGCCCAGCGTTGGTAATCTGAAGTTGGCTGGCAGGCACTCCAATCTTTGTGCTGCTGACCGTAGCCATGCTGAGGCACGAGGAGTCTATTTTGTTGGACTTGCAAGTGCTTAAAGTGATTATAATCACAAAACGTACTGCACCCAGCGAGCAACTGCTGAGGCTGGAATCGCCATCATTTCTCCGGACATTTTTTGTGGCTGACCTGCAGCAAGGGTCTCACAGCACCAGTGGGATTCCAATAGTAGGCAAAAGGCTATAGGACTTGCACAAATGATGATGCACTGTTGTTATGTTGTGGGATGAAAGCAATCCTGGGTGAGTACGCCTTAAGGGATTGTACGTGTGACGAGGGGTATGCAGGTCCATTAATTGAATGATCAATTACCTTACCTTGGAATGACAATGTCAATCTCTAAGATGGAAGCAGAGTGGGTTGGCATGGAGGGTTACAGTACCCGACAGGGACCCAACTGTACCACTTTGTGCACTTGGGTTGTGGAACCTTTTAAGATAAAGAACGAAAGCGCAAAGACAGCAGCTGTTTGTATGGGCAACAATCCGCACATTCAATGGAGGAAAGTCATAGTTTGGATCCAACACGTGTTTAGTCAGTCAGGTAGCTCTCATAACTGCCGCTTGACTGCATTGGGAAAACCTGGGGCGCATGTGCGCATTCGCGAGCTACGACAGCTACACATGCGTTTCTAGTTCTTCTTGTGGTTCTCCTTCGGATTATGTATGTGTCACTCATAGTGTCCGACCAATGCTTCGAATATTCACAGGCAGGGAGGGCTTTGTGGGCGGGCTTTTGTACTGCTTGGGCTTGGACAAAGCTCCCCTTGAATGCCCCTCTTTGAAGACCTAGCCAATGCTCGCTGTATGCTAGCACCGCTGGGGCTCGCTTCTGATAGTATGATGGGGTGCGGATGGGATTGTAGTGTAGACAGATTAGAGAGCAAGAGCAGGTCGAGCTCAGGTCGGCACATTCATCACAGCTGGCACCACGCCAGAGTGGAGTGCTCCAGGAGCGCAAGTTGCGGAAGCCTGAACGCGACGAGCGATGTGTTGAGCAGATGTGTTTGGCTTCTTTTAGTCTCGTGTCGTGCTTTCTAAACGGTAATGTCGAAGTAGGATTAATCAACTCCCCCCTTCAAGGTCAACAAGGTCAACAAGGTTTGAGATTGGAGGTTTTGGAGACCACATCCCCTTAATAAAGATGATGACCTGATGATGGATGATGAGATGAGGACAAGATTGGGAAAGATTGGTATTGGGATGATTGGGATGATACGAAAGAGATGAAAGAGATTGGAAGACGAGATATTTTCTTTGATTGGAATGATTAGGAAAAGAAAAAGGATTGCGGGATGAAAGTGATGGAAAACAAGATGGAGGCCAGAGGGTGGGCTTGATTAATAGGGGAGGGGCCTGTGTGAGGGGTACCCTTTGTGAGCTTGAAAACCTCAAGATTTTGATAGAGTTTTAATAAGGGAAAATGAAAGAATTTTGCTAGCAAGCTTTTTGGGTTTTAACAGGGAAGGATGAGATGCAGGTATTCCAGTGGGTGTATGGAATGCAATGTATGGAAATGCACTGCCTATTGGATGAGGAAGGAGGGGAAGAGACTGACTGGGCAGGAAGATCCCACATGAGTATACATTGGCTGCACAGATTGCTGCTGGGAAGGATGAGAAGAGCAAGCAGAATGATCAGAAATGATTTATGAATGAGAGTCAGCATGGGAAGCGCTACCGGACCTCAGCAGCAAGACCAAGATCTCAGCAGGCACGTCCGGGCCTCAACAGCAAGCTCCAAATCGCTGGGCGCCCCCAGACCTCCCTGCAGCTTGAGTAGCAAGGTCCGGTATGGTCAGCTACGCTGCGAACAGCTAGCTCCAGATCGCAGCGGTAGCTCCTGCGCACGCTCCTGGACCCCTATAGCCTTATGATAGACGATGTATCAGGGCACAATACAAACTTGATGCCAGAACAAGCGTCAGAACATTCTCAATCCGCAAAGCGCGGCTAGTCTGTCAATAGGGCGGGATAACCCCAAGTAAAGTAATTGTTTTTTGGCGTTTCCTTTGTTGAGGCATGTTGAGGCCATCCCGTCTCAGCCCATCCCAGTCCAAGATCTCTGAGAGTGAGAGAGGGATATTGATTGATTGATTGAAGGTATCGTCATGCGTTAAACATCGTTAAACTTTTTTTGGCACACGAGGGCCCAAGAGTTTTTCCCTGCTGGTTGGCCCAAAGTCCTGCATCACAGATTCTAGCCATGTCTAGCCTGAAAATATTGAATTGCGCTGGGTGTTCTATTTTGAGGGGGTCCAAATAAATTGATGGCACAGCTGCAAGCTTGCGCCATATCATTTGCTAGTTGGCGATCAGGATCGCTAACGAAGGAGATCAAACAATGACGATTTTGGGGTATTTGTTTTTGGGCGGCCTTTGGCTGTAGTTTGTAAAGCACGAAAAGAGATGGTTCATTGACTCAGGCAGCTGGGTTTCAATTACGTTTCATGAAACAATCTTGGTGGTCCCTCTGGCAGGATTGCGCCATCTACTTCTCACAGGGGCCACTGCAATATAGTGAGAACTTGCTAAATATGGCACACATGATCTTCCATCAAATTCGGTCTCCTCTCCGGAATCTGGCGTGGGTCATGTCAATGCCATCCATTTGCTATAATTATTCACTTTGGGCGGAGCCATCTACTCTGACGTTGGTGAATTAGTTTTCTCTGTGAATCTTGATTTGCTTCCCCGGGTCACCAACGCAGCTCATGGGCCAAGCCCGTGGAATGTGGGGCTAGCATGAAGTACCGTGGCAAAAGTCAACAATCAGTGATTTGTTCGCAAAGTACTGGAGCTCTTCTCCGGTTGGGTCGGCGAACTCCAGAGCTGATTCTGCCAACTAAAAAAGTTGCAGTGTCGTTTGCACAGATCAGAGCATGGAAGCTGGATTGCGGACACCATACAACAACAAACAAGGCAGCGTCACCGCCCTACCCTACTCCTGCACTTACTTTATACAAGCTTCAGATTTTTCAAAACATGCAGCAGCATCTTCAACGCCAATGCCAAATTACCCAAAACCACTATGGAAATTCATGGGGAAATCACTGGCCTTGCTGTTGCTTGCATTCCCTGAGCTGCGAGGACTTGTTTTGTCCCTGGGGGCAATGCTGACTGAAGCTCTCCGGGTGAGTTTGACGCAGTTCTTGCTCAGTTCATGTCGCTTGGTCGGAAGAACTATCTTACTGGTTGCAGTGCTGCAGCACTGAGCAGGACTTTGTGGCAATTGTTCACATGCTTTGCAGGAAATAAAGACTGCAAGAGTTACTTTTGCTTTGCTGAGGCAAGCTCTCCGTTACCGAAGGAGTTGAGTTTGGCAGTGCCACAAATGGGGGTTCACGTAGGTACTGCAGAGACGGTGATGCATAGAAAATATAACAAATACATATACATTAAAATAGAAGAAGCACATGTTTTCTTCCAATAAACAATGTTCTTCCAACAAATAAACAATTACACAATTACACTTAGAAACTTGGACCAGTTCCTGTTTGCTGCGAGGACAATATGTTTTAGCGCCTACAGCCTCCTTTGCATTGCTCCTGGCATCCGTGGCCATTGAAGGGCAATCAGTGCTGAGCCTGGAGGCTTGATGCATGGAGTTGTTTATGTTGTTTGTTTATTCCAACTGTTTCGATTATTGATTATGTTTACGATTCAATTGCTGCAATGTGTGGGCTTCAGGCCCTGAGCAAGGTGATCGAGCAGCTAGGCTTAGAAAGAACCCATGTCCTGCATGCAGTTTAGATCAAACGGCTGACGTCAGCAAAACAATTGCACTATCGAAGTCCAATGGATACGCCAAGGTATCCACATCTTTTTCTCTTTGCCGCAGCTTGGCCAGCATTCTTCGACAGACGACGGGGATTATACTCAACAAGTAGTCTGACTTTCCTGGCCGCAGCTGAATAAACATAACATGTACCTCTGACCCAGCAAGATTAGGTGGAATAAGTGGAGTAAAGTGTGCAGTTTTCAAGCAGGATTCAGGACTGTTTGCCGTGCTTCAAGCAGCTTACAAGTGGTTGGTCATTGGCCTGAGCCAATGTTTCCTTGCAATCCGTCCAAAGACCCGCGGCGCACATTTGTGCAAGTGCTTGGAGCCATGGAGCTAGTCCAATCAATCACCTAGTTGAAGAAGTTGCAGGGTGGCGCTCCAACTACTTCCAATCACCAGGCACTGGAGCAAAACCTATAACCTCCAGCCACCAATGCCGTGGCAAGCACACAACAATAACAACTAAAAGCATCCAAAAGCGATGAAGGTAGTGGATTGCCGTGAGTGGGGTAGATTATTTTATATCATTTCATGATATTGTTGTAATCGCGGTGTGTTCGCTTAGCATTGTGATGCAGCAAGTGAACAAAGTACAACTGTGCGACAACAGCTGATGGATTGAGATTGGTCCTGTCTTTTTTTCCCGAATGCGTAGCGAAGGGTTCTCGTTTAACTCTTGGGGGTCTGGGGGTAGAGCTTTGTTCGCGACCCGTTGTTTCTATGTTCGCAACCGTCCGCAACCGTTCGCAACCGTTCGCAACCGTCCGCAACCGTTCGCAACCGTCCGCAGTAGAGCGCTAAGGCGCTGCCATTGGGGGAAGCTTTTGCAAGTGCTTTTCATGGATGTGTCACGTGTCAGTTTGCGCCGCTATTCCATTGTGATTTGCATGAAAATGAGATGTCGCGCAAGAAACTTGATGCGTTTCGCTGCACAGGCGCAGCGTTTTGTGAGATCTGCAGATTGCTGCGCAGCTCCATTGGGATTAGCGTTTGGAGAGTCGTGTTTTTGGGGTGTTGGATGTGGCCGTGCCATTGGGATTTGCGTTTCAGGGTGTGGCATCGAAGCTCTGTTTTCGTGACAAGTCTCAGCTGAAATGCCGATTTTGGTGGATGGGTGTGCTCAGAACGGGTCGAAATCACTCCAAACGTGTGGTGTGGTGCAAATTTTGTTGAAGCTCACATGAGATGACATTGTTACTTTTCGTGGCAGGCGCAGGACTTTGTGCGGGCTTTGAGGTGTGGAAGTGGGATTTTCGTGGCAGGCACAGGGAATCGTGAGGTTGCGATGCCCACAAGTGTGTCCCACAAGAGTGTCCGACAAGAGTGTCCCAGAAGAGTGACCCACAAGAGTGTCCTACAAGAGTGTGCAACAAGAGTGTCCCGTAAGAGTGCCCCACAAGAGTGTCCTACAAGGGTGTCCCACAAGAGTGTCCTACAAGAGTGTCCCGTAAGAGTGTCTCACAAGAGTGTCCCACAAGAGTGTCCCACAAGAGTGTCTCACAGGAGTTAAGAGTGTCCCACAAGAGTGTCCTATAAGAGTGTCCCACAAGAGTGTCCCGCAACAGTGTCCCGCAAGAGTGTCTCACAAGAGTGTCCCTTAAGAGTGTCCCACAAGAGTGTCCCGTAAGAGTGTCCCACAAGAGTTTCCTACAAGAGTGCCCTACAAGAGTGTCCCACAAGAGTGTCCTACAAGAGTGTCCCACAAGAGTGTCCTACAAGAGTATCCCACAAGGGTTTCCTACAAGAGTGTCCTATAAGAGTGTCCCACAAGAGTGTCCCACAAGAGTGTCCTACAAGAGTGTCCCACAAGAGTGTCCCGCAAGAGTGTCCCAAATGAGTGTCCCACAGGAGTGTCCCACT